TTGCACCGTCTTTCCATGTGTCTGGAGTGATAACAGTACCAAGTTTCTTTTCACCTGTTATAACAAGATAGTAAAAGTAAGGGGAATTTGGATTTACTATTTAATAAATACACTACATTGTGCCTAAAGTTCAGTGTATCAACCACTGTCTTGAAGTAGGAGCCTTTTCATGCTGGGGTACGGGCTGCGAACTGAGACTGAAGATACTAACTGTGGGCAATGGGTACCTGACCCAGTAAAATCTGTACAGTATGGTGGCTAATGGCAGGCTTTCCCTGTATATGTATGCTTTAAATAAATCTGAAAAAATCTAAACAAATCTGGTACACATATTTATTCCATAAATATTTACTACGCACTTATGATATATAAACCACTATAGAGAGTTCAGAGAAAAATAAAATGATAAATAAGATAAAGCTCTAGGTTTCAAGGAATATATCAACATACTATTTTCTCTAATAGAAGTCCTTAGTCTGGGTTCCATGGCTAGACCTCAGAAGACAAGTGGACAGGATGAAGCTGTATACCAAACTACTGTATATCCATTTTTTTTCTTGTAAGAGTCCATAGCTTTCAGGGCACCTGGGTAGCTCAGTCAATTAAGTGTCTGCCTTCAGCTCTGGTCATGATCTCAGGGTCCCTACTCAGCGTGGAGTCTGCTCCTCCCTCTCCCTCTGCCCCTCCCCCTGCTTGTGCTCCCTCAAGTGCACAAATAAATTAAAAAAAAAGAGAGTCCATAGCTTTCATCAGATTTTTAGAGAGGTCAGAGACCTCTGAAAAAGAACCATTCAAACCAAAATATAAACTAGAAAATAAAAAGCATAGTAATGGATGGCTAAAGTACTAGGAGAAATACCATCGGGGAAGAAATAACCTGAGCTAGGGAAATCCAGGAAAGCCTTTGGAGGAGACAGGAAGAGGGTCTGGATGTGGCAATAGGATTGTGAAGACAGAGGAGAGAGGATAAAGGCAAACTAGAGAAAGGCTGTATCTTGAATGAAGGCATGGAGAGCTAAGGGTACATGTGGTCTTGCAAAGTAGCTTGGTTTGGCCAGAGTGAAGGTAAGAGTAAGTGAAAATAAAGTTGGAAAGATAAGCTGAGACCTCATTGTGGAGGGTCATCCTGAATCCGGGCTCCAAATATAAAACCCCAAATTATTCTCTGCACATTGAGTATTTATTAAAGGCTTTAAATTCAGGAAATGATAGAGCGCACTTATATTTAGGTTCAATTCAAATGCCTGTTGTGATTACTCTAAACCATGCCCTGGCATAATGATGAAGGGATGGTAAGACACAGTCTCTATCCTTTGGTCCTACTGTTTAGCATTTGGTAGGAATGTAATACTTGTTGCATGAATGAAAAGAAAAGGTGACAAAAATGCAAGAATGAAAGATGGAGTCAGGGTTTAATTGAGCATTTTTATATGGAAGGGGAGCTGATTAAACATTCCAAAGGATATAGTGAGAAATAAAGAGGTATGGAAGGATGGCAACAAGGACACAAGTAGAATTTTTCTTGGAAAAAGAAAGGGAAAGAAGTAAATGAGTATGGATGTGGATCTGTTTACAGGTATCGTAAAAGAAGTTGACGATGTTCCCATTTAATTATCTTGCTTGTCTTATACCTATAAGGAGGTATTTGTCAACAGAGGATGAGGTAGATGAAGGTGGGGGAAATTTAAGGGATTAGAGAGTTTGGAATAGTCACTAGTGACAAAGGGCAAGAGGGCTGACTAAAGATAAGTAAAAAAGACCAATGAATAGTATTAAAGATCTTGGAGAATAGGAATTATACACTTTTAGTGGTACCAATTGGTTCATTTATGAGTTTTCCCCAGTGGCCTTCACATGCATGCAGGACAGTTTAAGGAGAGAAGAGGCAAAAGCAGACAGAGCACAGTTTGAAGAGAAAGGAGCTGGGAGGGGATCACATTAGTCTAACTCAAAAGAGTGATGGGGACCTCAGGTAGGTTATTTAAGGGGTAAATGAGAGGCTAGGAAAAATATGAGCTACTGAATGGAAGTAACAATAGCAGGACAGGCAAGTGTTTGGATGCAGGTTGACAAAGGGATACCAGAACGAATGAGAGATGAATAAGGCTTTATGAATGGGTGACGGGGAGGACTGCCATGCCATTAAATGATGGAAGAGACGTTACAGATTTATAAAGCAGGATGACAAATTCAGTCTTGGAAGTACTAAACTACTATGTAACAACCAGATGAAGGCTCCCAGTATTGTCTGGAGAAATTTCTTCTATTGGTCTTGGTATAGAGAGAAGTCGGCTGGAGATGTGGATTAGACATTCACTGGCATGGATAAACTACTTGAAGCCAGATATTTCCAAAACAAAGAGTCAAAAGAAGGGCAGATACCGATCACTGGGAAATATCTACTTTAAGGGAGAGGGAGAATAAGAATACTTGGAGATTATAATGGTAAAGAAGAAGAGAAGTAAATTCAAAGAGAATCTAGATCAAGTTTCAAAGTCACAGAGAAGCAGAAAGGGACTGAAAGAAAGGTCTTTGAATTAAGAGTCTATTTTTATTTGGGGAATAAGATGGTATAGAAGGTAGAAAGGTATTAGAGCAAAGAAATAATACAGACTTTCAGAAGTGCAGAGAAGTAAAAAGCAAATGACCTTTTATGACATATATCACGTCCCAGAGCCAAACTATGTGTATTTTAACATCACATCCGATCTTGGGTTCTCAAAATTTTTATGTGTCTTAGGAAATTACCTCTCACAATTTGCCCAGTATCCTCAATTTTCCTGGGAAAAAAGCACTTATGGTGTTAAAGAACATCACACAAAACAAGTTAAGCCCGTCAGAATGCCAGGCCTCTAAAGTTAAAATGTACCGAATTAACACAAATTACAAAGAAGGCTAATTTACATGTTTAGGAACTACCCTACATAAGAGAAAAGACATGGAGAAGGTGCATAACCTAAATATATGTAAGTCAGTTACTCAAACAAGCAAAACCAAAAGCCTCATAAGTACTGGATGGAGTAGAGTTAAAAGGACGTCAATGTCAAACAGCTTAATGTACTTTTTGGAGCAATGAAAATATTCTAAGATTGATTGTGGTGATGGTCGCACAACCCTGTGAATACGCTAAAAATAACAGAATGGCACATTTTAAATGGGTGACTTCTACCTATGTCAATTGGTAGAACTGCAATAATCTTTTAAAAGCTTCCTGTGAGATGATGATGTAAAGCATAGAAAAATGAAAATATCAGTCCCACTCTACTCCTCATAAAATGGAGCAGAGTTTAATGCTGAGTGCCACATACTGGGAGTTATGATAGGAATAACCAGTTTTTGAGTATACACTAAGGCACTTTTATATCAGGCTTTACCTGCATTATCTAATTCTCACAAAACCCCATAAATTATGTATTATTCTCATTTTTCAGAGGAGAAAACTGGAGCCAAGAAATATTAGGCAATTCACCATGCTTATTCCTTTACATAATGTAAAACCTGTGATTCAAACTCATGGGTGCCTGTGTTCAAAGGTTTATCTACTGGGGGGGGGAGGGGAGAATATAAACAGAATTGATGAAGTTAATGTTAATCCAGATAAGAGGACTTGAAATCTTGTTCAGAAAAGTCTAGCCTGAGGAAAAAGAGACTTAGGGATATGACAGCCGTTTTAAAACATACAGACAGTCTGTGACATCAAAGAAATCCTAAGATACTTTCCAGAAACATCAAGGGTTTGCATTAGAATCACTGCCTGGCAACTGTAGGGATGAAGGATCTTTCTTTTCTTTTTTTCCTTTTTCTTTTCTTTTCTTTCTTTCTCTCTCTTTCTTTTTTAAAGATTTTATTTATTTGTTCATGAGAGACACACAGAGAGAGCCGCAGAGACACAGGCAGAGGGAGAAGCAGGCTCCATGCAGGGAGCCCGACGTGGGACCCCAGGTCACAATCCCGGGCTGAAGGCGGCACTAAACCGCTGGGCCACCCGGGCTGCCCAGGAAGGAACTTTCTAAAAGCCAGTGGCATCTACGCAGACTGTTTTGAAGGTAGTGACGCTTTCTGAACCCTGCCTCAAGACCTCAGGTATTCATGCAAAGAACATTTAAGCCAACATTTAAGGATGCTAACTTCGGGTTGCTAGTTAAAATACAGGATGCCCTGTTCAATTTAAATTTCAAATAAACAATGAATGGTGTTTTAGTATTGTCATGTCCTAAAGGTAAGCCAAAGCACTTTCAGTACTAAGGAGCTGCAAGCAAAGACAAGTCTCAAATATTGCATGGGATATACTTTTCCTAAAAAAAAAAAAGTATTCATTTTTTAAATGTCTGCTATATCTGGAAACTCTGGGTGTTGTAAAAATGACTTTTAAGATCCATTCCAATCCTGAGGGTCTGTGAGGCTAAGGAGCCAGTCAAAAGCTGTATGGGATGAAATCCCGGGGTGGGGCTGGGGGAGGCAAAGGAAATAGACAAATTAGTACAAAAGTGAGAACACTCCGAATGCAAAACCAACGGGAACGGTCAAAGGGATAAAGGACAAAGGCTGGAATCAGAGACTTGTGGCCGAAAGAAAAGACCAAGAAAAGGCGAAGTCCCCGGAGAACTCCTGCTAGCTTCTCCTGGCCTCCTCCCAAAGATTCAGCCCCTTAACTCACATTTCTCGCACACCATCCTTCCCCGACGCTTCCCCCGGCCGCAGAAACAGCAGCAGCTCGAGGATGTCAACACAACAGCCGGGGCAGACGTCCCCTTCCGGGTTACGAAAATCCGCTTCCGGCCGCCCCGCCCTCCGCCCCGCCCATCCCACACCTGAAAGGCCGTGGGAGGCGGGGCTTCTCCCATCGCCCGCCCCTCCGCTCCTGCAATTGGCTGTGCCGTCTTGGGTCTCCGCCCCACAGGCTTGCGCCTGCGCGTTGGCCAGGGCGGCGAGTCGTACCTGATGGTGGGAGGTAGTAGCTCACGCTTCTCTTCCGCTGGCGGGAGAGTTAGGTAAGCGCAGCGGCGCCCGCCCGGCGCGCGAGCCTCCCGGGGTGCCCGCGGCCCCCACCCACTGCCCACGTGACCGCGAGCGTCTGTGCCCCCGGCCGCTGGCGCCCGCCGCCCGCCGCCCGTCCGAGGGCCACCCTTCCGGCGCGACCCGGGGCAGCCCCGATGGACCCGGCCCTCGGATGCGTCCTTCTGTGCGTGGCGCTCCGTTTGGCTTGGTCTCCGCGCCCGTGCCCTTTTGCTTCTGCTCTCGGCGCGCCGCCCCCGTTCACACTGGCGCCGGGTGAGGCTTGGGCAGAGTCCCGAGCGGCCGAGGTTGGCGGGGGGCTGCGGGGACAGGTAAGCTCCGCAGCCTCCAGGGCGGTGGCCCCGGGCCGGGTCCGACCGCGGGGGCGGGGGCGGGGGCGGGGGCGCGGGCCCTGGCCGTCGGGGTGTGCTCGCTAGGGCCCACCCCCGGGGCTGCTTTCGCGGGGGGGGGGGGGGCAGACCTTTGGCGCACCCTCTTCTCCTCGTTCGTTCATTCATTCAGTAAGCAGTTGGGTGCTGCTCCGTGTGTTAGAGCCTCATCTGCCCATATCACTTGGGATTCTGAGAGCGGCCCAGAAAGATCCCCGAAGGGATAGTCCGTTCAGACGGTGTATTCCGGATCCTGCGCCCCTGCCCCTTGGTCAGCGGATCTGCCAGAGAGGTTTCCTTCCTCCCTTCCTGCTCTTCATCCTCTTCTCGGTCCCTGGTGTGTAGATTGATGTCAAAGAGGCGAGGGTTTGACGTGGCTGTAGTGCTTGGGAGCTTGGGACCTTGGACATGTCTCCCAACGTGCCTTACTTAGCCTGTTTCCTTATCAGTAGAATATTTGCCTTGGAAAATTATAATGTGAGCTAGACCAGAGCTGTAAAGATAAGGCCTTGACTTGCCCTTTTGTTTTTCTGGAATATTCACCACGGGTGTAACATGGGTAACATGTGGACTGTTACTTTGATATTAGCCAGGACTATGTATAAGCTCTGTGTTAGGTAATTTATAAATAAACATATATGTTATACATACCACGATGTGTATTTTATAGAGAGAAAGAAAGATCTTTCTTCTTCTAGTTATGCCCTACTTTTGATTGGAACCCAGCACCTGTAACGGACATTGTCATTTCGGTATTTCTGGAGCATTGGGAATCCCTTAGTTTAGCATAATGTTCTTTGGCCTTTATTACACTGGCCACCATTTGAGTACTGAAGTGTGCACTTGGTATTGCTTGTCATTTGCCAGAAGAGGTGAACTACTGTGATGTTAGACAAGGGTCCCTAGTGGTTTCGAAGAAGAAAAAAAGGCAGTTTAGTCAGAGTGTATCCATGGATCGGAGAATGCATAGCTTATATTTCCAACCAGAGCAAATCATTAATCACTGCGTGTTTGTTTTCACCGTTGTGATTTCGACAAAAAAGAGAAAGAAAAAGAAAAGGAAACGAATCCCTTAATTGGTCTTAGTACATGACCCCCTTACAGAAACTGGTTACAAATATTTAAGAAATTACTAAGTTTGGCCTTTTTAGGTTCTAAGACCTTTTTGAGCCAAACTAGTCTACATGTATATTTATACGTATGCATCTTCCCATATTCTGAAACTCATTGCGCATAGAAAATTGATTTGTTCATGCTTACTTTTAGGCCTTGGAGCATTTAGACAATGGAAAAAAATCATTATTGGATATGCTCTTAATTTGTTTTTCATTAGATAGCGTCTCGAGAAAACACCATGAAAGATACTGATATCAAGAGACTACTGTATACCCATCTTTTGTGCATATTTTCAATTATCCTAAGCATCTGCATTCCATCGTTCTTCTTGGAGAATTTCTCAATATTGGAAACACACTTGACATGGTTGTGCATCTGTTCTGTTTTTGTAACTGCCGTCAATCTAGTGTTATACTTAATAGTGAAACCAAATGCATCCTCTAAAAGAAGTTCAGTATCATACAAGGTAAGCCTTATTTCTTGGTAATTGATTTTTAGATAGAGGTGGTGTTTCTTTGAATACAAGAATAAAGTATAAGTCAAGTACTCATGTAGTTATTTACAGTGAGTAAAGAGAACCTGATTTTTTTTTTTTTTTTCTCAAATCAGTAGCCTGTCCTTGCTGGAAGGTTGCCCACAATGTTTGGATAGATCCTTGTCATGCATCAGTTGTGGAATTAGGTCTTTGGTAGATATTACAGCATTATGAACCTAGATAGTCATGTCTTAGGTCACCATTGAAGATAAATACATGATGTAGCAATCATATCTTTATAAAGTTTACTTTGTAAGACATTTCAGTTTATCTTCATTTATTTTTTTCCATTTCTGAAAGAAACTTAATGGGTTTTTAAAAAATTACAAGATAAGTCTCTGTGGTAGCTTTGTTTTGAACATGGCCTTCCTTGACTAAACGGTGTTAAAGTTTTCATATATCAAATCTGTTTTTTGAAATATTCACTATTGTAGAACACTTGGCTATTACTTTAAATTAATAGAGTCCTCACTTAACATTATGTAATACTATGTGTAAGCTCTCTTAGGTAATTTAAAACACATTTACTGCCCTATGATTAAAAAGCTCACTCTTTGTTATATAATTAGATCTTCTTAAGCTCCAAATCAAGTAGTCCTGCACTGACTTGCAGACATTCAGGTCTTTTTTTCATGTGCATCATATAATCACATGAATATAATTTGGGGAATTATTTAGTATAGTGCTTTTTTGGGTACAGTTTTCTTAGGGATTTTGTTTTTAATGAAAAAAAAAAGTATAGCATTTATTTCTTGCAAAAATGTCCTGTGTCACATAATAAGGACTGTGTGTTTTTTGTATCATAGCGTTCTGTTGTTGGTAAAATATTTTCTAAATACTGAGTAGTAACATACTCAATACATACCGTAGAAACAGAAATGGTTTTTGATTCTAGTGCTGATTGGGTGGGTGGAATATAGGGGATGGTTTGTGACTTGTAGGTTGTTTTATGGGGCTCTCTGGAGGACTGCATACCTGACTGCAACAGGAAATGGGATCTGATGTCAGGCTGCCTGAAGTAAAGAATGTTCAACTGTTTCACGCATGGGAATAAGTTGTATTTGTAGATAAAGTGGAAGCATTTGCTGTCCTCTAGGCATTGTCTTGAGTCTTCAGATCATTCTCATTTCTTTTTTAGGTAACCAGATTTTTGAAATGCTGTATCTACTTTCTTATGTCATGTTTCTTCTTTCATGTAATTTTTGTTCTATATGGAGCACCACTCATAGAGTAAGTCTGAAATTTTTACCTAAAGGCGATTATATTTTAAAACACTTGTTTATTAAACAAAGCACTGATTTTGTTGGGGGTGAAAGAAGAACCATGGTGTGTTTAATTACTGGATCACAGAAGGATACTGACATCATTGCCCTTTCTTAGTAACGTTACTTCATAGCAATATTAAGAGTAACTGAATTCTTAATTATTATTAGTTAATAATAAGAATAACTCAATTCATTAACTACTTCTATTACCTAGCCTTCTATTACCCCATTGCATGTGGAAAGGGGGCGGGTAGGTAGATGAGAAACTATACCAATAAATGTGTGGCCCCTAGAACCTCTAAGGGAACTTACTTATAATGATATGTATAAATTAGTTACAAATAGTAACTAAGTGCTTGAAAATATTTTGTCTTAAGAAAAGTCAATAGAGGAACTCCTGAGTGGCTCAGTGGTTATCCTGGGTTCCTGGGATTGAGTCCTGCATGGGGCTCACCACAGGGAGCCTGCTTCTCCCTCTGCCTCTCTCTCTCTCTCTCTCTCTCTCTCTCTCTCTCTGTCTCTCATGAATAAATAAATAAAACCTGTTAAAAAAAAGTCAATAGATTCCTGTTTTTAATTATTTATAACCTAATGTTGATAGTTTAAAGGCAAAATTTAAATTTAACTCAACACTTTTTCAAAGCTGACCAGTTTTTTTAAAAAAAACTAAATTCATGAATATTTTTAATACAATGTTCATCATAAATTGAGAAACTTCATTTAGCAGTGATTAAGATCACGGTGAAACAAGTGATGTGACACATATAGCTATGTATGTAGTTTTATACATATTTACACATAATTATATACATACACATACTAAATTAACAGCTAGTTCTTTTCTAGAGAGGGGAGGACAAGACCTTTGTAATGGTTTTATTTAATCCATTTTAGAATGGAATGAATGTTTTGCACAATGGTTCTAAAACTAGCAGCATCAGCATTTTATCAAAAGTGAATTCCCAGGCCTCAGAAACTCTAGGGGTGCAGCCCCTCAATCTTTAGTTTCTCTAGCTTTCCAAGTGTCTCCAGTATAAGCTAGAGTTAAACCAGTGGTTGCAGAGAAATTTCCAGAGACTATTCAGAAAGAAAATTATCTAAAAATGGAGTTTCTTGCAGTGGAGAGTCTCATATGGATCAGAGGGTATTTAACACTTCTGAACTCTGTCATTAAAGGCAGATATTTGCTAGATTGTTTTTTATAGCTTGTATTTTCGGTAGTAAAACTTTTTTGTAGTTATCATTTTAGTAGGATGCATCTTACCTTTCAAAGTAAAGTATATGAAAATGTTTTTATGTTAAATCTGTTTAAGTAACCAAGATTATGTGTGTACATGCCTTTAATGCTTTTTTAAAAATTGCTAATTTTTTTCCCCTAGGTTGGTGTTGGAAACATTTTTATTTGCAGTTATTTTGTCTACTTTTACTACTGTACCGTGTTTGTGTTTGTTAGGACCAAACATCAAAGCATGGCTAAGAGTATTCAGTAGAAATGGGTAAGTTTTAATTTTATATTTTAGTGGTTTGAAATTTTAAAAAATTAATGTAGTGTTTTTCTACCCATGGCAGCTTTCTGATTATTCTGAGAGTAATTTTCAAAACTCTGTGGTTCTAAGGGATGCCTTAGGGACCCACTGCAGTTGGGGACTGGGGGTAGGGAATGGGTTGTATGCATTTGAGGGGGACTCAAGCAGGTAGATCTAGAGGCTTCTCCTTCCACTTTAGCAAGATCAGCTCTGGTATTCTTCAGTATGGTAGGATTCCATTTAGCCTTTTGTTTGGGAAAAAAAAGAGAAAGGTTTCTGCTTTCAAAAAGGGCCTTGAAAACCACTTTTCAGGGATGATTTGTTACTGTGATAAAATTTTTGCAGATAAAATTGCTTCTATACATCTTATAAGGTAGAATTGAAGTCTACAATCTAAAAATGCTTGGTGACAACTATAATTTCTTGTTTAGCCTCTTTTGTGGTAAGACATCTGAGTGCAAGTTTTATAGGATTTTATTTCCTTAGCAGCCATAAATAAATTCAGCACAGCTAAGTTAAAATTTTAGCTTCTTGAAAGGTATTGAAATGGTTCGTATCAGGAAAAAAATGGTTAAATTATATCTAAGAAAGCTGGAGGTTATTTGATGCTGGTGATTTTGTCCTTTTTATCACCCAGTAGCAAAAACGTCCAGAGCTCTTACTCGGCTCCATGCTGTGCAAGCTGGCTCCATGCTGTGGGAGCTTTGTGTGCATTCTGAAATGTTAGCCATGATTCTCTCCCTGAGAAGTTGTCTGTTCAAAGGGATAAAAATAAAATGGACAAACTATGAGATTAAGATTGTGTAAATCAGATAGTAAGTGTTGTTGGAACTTGGAGGGGCAGGAAACCACTAACGAATGAGCTGGAGTGGGCAGTGATCTATAAAGGATTTGGATCAGGAATGTGAGACTTGGTGAGATGAAGGGGAAAGGGAAAGACATCCCTATGAACAAAGCCAAAGAAACTGAAATGAAAGCGGTATTTTGTTGTGATTTGGAAGGGAACAGCCCAAGTAGTACAGAGGATGCATGCTGGCTAGTAGCTAGGCTCTATAAATGACTGACTCCTTCCTTTTGAAATGAATATCGTTTCCCTTCAGAACCATCTTACAGTGTTGATAAATGTCTCTAGAAAGCAAAAGTGTAATCACTGAAAACTTTTTCCCACATTGTTACCATAGTATCCCTTAATGGCATTCATTTCTTTTAGCATTTTAGTTTGAGATTTTTAAGCAGTGAAAACCAGTTGAAACGTTATAGGTTTGGCTTGGTGATTTATCCAGCTTTTTTTTTTTTTTTTTTTTTTATTTATCCAGCTTTAAACTGTGTTTCTGATAATGGTGTGTGTGTGTGTGTGTGTGTGTGTGTGTGTGTGTGTGTGTGTATAATCTGATTCTGCAATTAGTTCTCCCATAGTATGGCATATGCATTTCTAGAAATCCCTACTCTATGCAAAATTAGTCAATAAAAAATACAGAGGCTCTAGGAAAGATAGGATAACACACAAAAACCTTGACAGTAACATAAAAAAGATGGGAACTTAATTAAAATGGTAGTACAGTTTTATACATGTTAAATAGGTAAGAAATTGAAAAACATTATAAGGAATATGGTCCTTTTCCTTGGAAAAAAACCTGAAATCTGTTTTTGGAAGTAGTGAGGGAAGAGTTTGCCACTCATAACTTATTATGAAGTGGTAACAGAGGGTTGTTGGAGATCTGATGGGAAATTAAGGACCAGATGTGGAAGGCGTGACTCATACATGTGAAGGAAGCTAAGGGAGCTGAGAGTTGGGGCTTGGTTTGTTTTGTTTTGTTTTTGTTTTCTTATGTTTCAAGTTTTTATTTGAAGTCCAGTTAGCTAGCATATAGTGTAATACTAGTTTCAGGAGTAGAATTTAGTGATTCATCACTTACATACAGCACCTAGTGCTCAATCACGAGTGCCCTCTAATGCCCATCACCCATTTAGCCCATCCCCCTGGCCTCCCTCCCTTCCAGCAACCCAGGGAGATGGACTTTTTTAAGTAGTATTGAGATATAATTCAAATACCATACACTTGGCTTATTTAAAGTGTACAATTCAGTGGTTTCAAGTATACTCACAAAAGTTGTCCGCCACCATCACAGTCAAGTTTGGAACATTTTCATCATCTCAAAAAAGAAACCCCATATTCTTTAGCTATCACTTCCTTATCCCTTCTCCCCTAGCCCTAAGCAACCACTAATCTCTTTACTGTTTCTATAGATTGCCTGTTCTGGACATTTCATAAAAATGTTATCATGTATATGTGATCTTTTGTGATTGGCTTCTTTCACTTAACCATAATATTTTCAAGGTTCATCTATTCAGTAGTTCATTCCTTTTTATGGCTGAGTAACATTCCATTGGGTGACTCTGTACCACATTTTTTTATCCGTTCATCAAGTGATGGACATCTGGGTTGTTTCTACTTCTTGCTGTTATGACTAAGCAGATGTAAACATTTGTATACAGGTTTTGGTATGGACATAATGCTTTTATTTATTTATTTTTTGAGTATATGCCTAGGAGTGGAATTGCTGGATCTTATTGTTACTTGTTTAATTGTTTGAGGAACTTGCCAGACTGTTTTTCAAGATTGCTGCACCATTTTACATTCCCACAGCAATGTATGAGGGTTCCAGTCATCCTGTGTTCTTGCCAACAGTCGTTATTATCTGGCTTTTTGATTATCACCATCCTAATAGGTGTGGTTTGTTATCTCCTTGTGTTTTTTATTTGTGTTTCCCTACTGACTAATGGTGTCAAGCATCTTTTCATGTGCCTGTTGGCAATTGTGTATTTTCCTTGGAGAAATATTTCTTCAGATCCTTTGGTCATTTTTTAATTGGGTTTGTCTTTTTTACTATTAAGTTGTAAGAGTTCTTTACTTATTATAGATACAAATCCTTTATCATATACATGATTTGCACATTTTTTTTCTTTCTGTGGGTTGTCTTTTCATTTTCTTCAGTGTGTCCTTTGAAGGACAAAAGATTTTAATTTTGATGAAATCTAATTCATCAGTTTTTGTCTTTTGTTGCTTATGCATGTATTAGGATCCTATCTAAGAAACCATTGCCAAATCCAAAGTCATAAAGATTTACTCTTATGTTTTCTTTTAAGAGTTTTACAGTTTTAGGTTTTACACTTGGGTCTTTGGTCTATTTTGTATTAGGTTTCATATATGGTGTGAAGGAAGGATCTACCTTCATTCTTTGCATGTGGCTCACCTGATGTCCCAGCACCATTTGTTGAAAAAATCACCTTTGAGTAATTTTGGCACCCTTGTCAAAAATCACTTGATCATAAACACATGATCTTTAGTGTTTTTCCACTGACCTGTATGCCTATCCTAATGTCAGTACCACCCTGTTGTCGTTATCTGGTAGATTTTTGAAGGATGTGCATGCTTTGTAGATGCATACACTGCTCGATGCTATTGGGTGCAGTTTTTATTTGTTCACATAGTGTTTCTCACAGAGGAAGTTGCTCATGTTGTTCCCTAATATTTCAGTCAAATTGTAACAAATTTGCATATATTCAAAAACAAGCATTATAGCAGTGTTGACTATATATAAAAATCCCTAATATTTTTAAATTGAAAAAAAAATCAAACTTAAAAACTCAAGGGAAACAGAGAAACTATCCTTAATTTCTTTTAGTAACTTACCACAAATTGAATATGTATATGTTTTCTGATTCTGCTTTAACCCTATTTTTGCATTTAGCCTGAACAATATACCTTGCAGTAATGCCTATTATTTTCTGCTGGGTTAAAAAGAGCTCTTTAAAAATTTATTATAAAATTTGACTTGAATATTTTGAGATTTGCAGAGTTAATTTGTTGTCACCTTGTTTTTGTACCTATCAGCACTGTATCCCTTCTCAGAAAGATCTATAACAAAGTAAAACTAAAAATAATTGGAAGGGGAATACCATTTTCCAGCTAGCAAACTGACAAAATCTGTGTTTCATAATACATAGTGTTAAAGGTTTGGGGAGTTAAGTGCCAATGGGAATATAAATTGTTTCAAGCTCTGTGAAGGGCAGTTTGGTAATATCTATAACAATTAAAAATACGCATCTTTGACCTAGCATTCCCACTTCCAGGATTTTATGCACTAGATATATTTTCATACCTACAAAATATTGAATGTGTAAGATTATTCATTGTAGCTTTGAAAACAGCTTAAATGTCCTTTAACAAGGGGAGGATTAAGTTAAATTTAGTGAGGCTATAAAAAACAACCACCTAACCAATTCTTTAGTTACTTATATGCTATTAAGTGGAAAAAAGGAAAGTGAAGAAATGTGTGTAGAATGCTACCATTTATGTAAAAATTGGGCAAAAGAGAATAGATACACCTGTATATCTTTGGAAGAATACATGAGAAACTGATAAAAAATATTGGTTGTCTCTTGGGAGGGGGTCTGAGATGCTAGCAGGCCAGCTTAGAAGACTTTCCACCAACTACCCTTGGGTGTCTTTTGAAATTTAAGTCCTATTAGTATATACTTAGTCAAAATGAAAATTATAATGGGTTAGGTTTTGCCAATATTTAACTTATTTGGGGAATATAGAAAGTTAGACCTGTATCAAGAAGTTGTTAGATTTCTCTGATGCCACCTAAACTTTGGTAGGCTGCAAAAATATCCTTCGAAAATTTCTAGCTTACAAGATAATAGCTCAGTTGCTGGAGTTCTGTAACTAAAAATAATCAATTTGTAATACGAAACAGTTAACATTCCAGAGGGCAGTACATGAAATAGTAATATGCAAAAGTAACAACTTTTACAGCACTTTCAAGTGTCTTATAGCATTTAATTCTTACAGCAGTCTGGTGATATACTCCTATTTTCATTGTTTTCTTTCTTTTTATTTTAAGATTTTATTTATTTATTCATGACACACACACACACACACACACACACACACACACACACAC